AGCAGAAATTTATAGAAACAAGGATCTTTTCATTCATAACATATATTATTTGAATTGTTTGCGACGATGGATCGCCAATTAAATCATTAACCTTTGCATTTGTTTTTGTATGAATAATCATGAATAAATTGATTGCACGTTTATCGAAATATATATATATATATATATATATATATATAGAGAGAGAGAGAGAGAGAGAGAGAGAGAGAGAGAGTCGAGTTCGAATTCCAGTCGAATTCATTACATTCACTTACGTGCTAATACCCTTGGGAAAGGTGTGAATCCTCTTTTTCTCCCCCAGCTATGGGTAAATAGCAGGACAGACTGGGTTCTATAATCTTGGATGGCAACTGGTCTGGGAGACGGACAACTTGAATTCAAACCCGGAGTGGAGCCTCTAAGGCGGATGGACGGCACTTTGTTCTACCTTCCGGCAACTCCTGCAGCCTCGCTGGTACCAAACTGTATTGATTTATCCTCTCCTTTGGACTCTGCTAGCAAGGCCGAGGGGAGAAACTAGACGTCCGGGCGGCCCTAGTTCTCCATATATCCCGCCCAGGCTCAGCACACCACGCTACTCCATCGTCTCTCGAGACGGACGGATGCCGACGAGTACGATATATATATATATATATATATATATATATATATATATATATATATATATACATATATATATATATATATTTCTTTAGTATTTATTTTTAGATTTTTTTGATAGGTTGTCATAACTTGAATTTCTGAGATCCTGATTATACCGAAAAGAATTATTATTGTTTTTGATCACCATTGTCATCGTCATCATCATAAACAACGACAATATAATTAAATGCTTCTACTTAAAGGCACACTGCAAACCAATACGATTTCTCATCTTCAGCAACTTTGTATATCACTCTTAGTCCTTTCTATCTTGTGCTAACTCACGAAAATGCTGCGCGTCTTCCCAGTAAAAAAAAAAACGGCGAATTTATCATCATTGTTTTATCTTTCAGGAATAATTAAACTTTAATAACCTTGGATACATTTCTGGAATATTCATGACCGTCAATAAAGCTATTGCCTCCTGGTTCTACGCTTCCAACTTTGTGTTGAACATTCAGGCAAACATTTCGGACATCTTCAATGATTGTTCAGTTTGTGCATTAATCATGATAGTTAAATAAATTTATTTCTGAATTTACCGCTTTTTACAAGGCAACCTGTTTCTTTGTCCAATATCGTTCGGGGCTATTTAAAAATAAGAAAATAGTGTGTACTTTGTTTGCTTAATAAGCCTTGATGACCAATAAAACAATTTATTATTATTATTTCTAATAAGGATGGGCATTATCAGTTCAAACACGTACAATATATCGCTCAAATAAACACATACTGGTAGAATTTTTTACGGTTTATCACTTTTTGCAGGTTATTTAAAGTCAGCAATAATTTTTAGATTGTAAATTGTTTGTGTAGATGATAATATTTTACTGATACATGTCCGACTAATTAACCCATAGCTGGAGGGACAGAGGATGTAGATTCATACCATTCACAAGAGCATTTGTGCATAAGTAAACCCGACTGGAATTGAAACTCGAGTATCCGATTTTCAGTTGCGAGTCGTTATTTATTACACCATCCGCACATCCAGGATTACAGCACTCAAAAGTTGTCACCTAGTTAGTTACTGACTCGACGTTGCTTAACTTTGGAGGAACACATTGATTTGCATTATAAAATCTGAAATTTGTACATCCTAGCGAAAAAAAAGGTTCGTTGACAAGTAAATCGATTAAAAGACAGATTGCAATCGATAATTATTAATTAATTTATTTATTACGAAATTCTTCCTAAATTCTCGATAAAAGAAGGATTAAATAGTTACTAGTTTACATAGAAACCATTGATCATTATTACAATTTACATAAAAAGACTTGATCTTTATCGCAGTTTACATAGAGACCTTTGATCTTTATTAAAGTTTATAAAGAAATCATTGATCTTTCTTATAGTGTACATAGAAATTCTTCATCTTTATTACAGTTTTATAGAAACTTTGATTTATTATAGTTTACGTAGAAACCATTTATTGCAGTATATATATATATATATATATATATATATATATATATATATATATATATATATATATATATATAAACAGCTCCCAAAAAGAGTCTGCCTGAAATAAAGATTACACATTGACAGCCGTAGTCGGTCACTGTCCACTTGAAATTTGTACTTTATATATATATATATATATATATAAACACATAGCAAAAATTTTCTGATATGTAATCATGCCTTAAGTGCATAAGAGGCTGGATAAAAAAGTATTCCCCCCTCCCTGATGCATTTACAATTCACTTTCTTCTTCTTCTTCTTCTTTTTTCTTCTTCTTCTTCTTCTTCTTCTTCTTCTTCTTCTTCTTCTTCTTTCTCCCTTTCTGTTACATCCGACGTCATTCGTTTGTTTGTTTATTTTTGAAAACAATAATATAGTGTTCTTTAGTTTAAAAAAAAATGCGTTAGGTGGTCATTTGATAAAAATTGCCTGAGGATACCGTAAGGTTGAAAGCAAGGTAGCGAATTCAACTGAACTCCTGATTTTTAATATATATATATATATATATATATATATATATATATATATATATATATATATGTGTGTGTGTGTGTGTGTGTGTACTTGTGTAGTAAAGATAATAAATCCGTTGGTATATAAACCAAGTGGATCCTAGTAATATAACATATCAAAATTGATCCACAAAAGGAGCTCAATATATTTATTATTACAGAGCGAATAATTAGTACACAATACAATCCAGAATTAACTCACATGAGGAATCTGCATATTTCAGCCGACAGAAACTTCCTTTTATTCAACCCCGGTGTATAGATTGAGTTCGTGTCGGAATTAGAAATTTAATTGTGAAAATTAAATTTCTATGATACGACGTTGCTTAACTTCAGTGATCGTAGGGGAACCGATGTTACAACGTGATGTGGCCATAAGCCTGCTTTCTTCGTTAACTTTCCTTTCCAAGAATTGCAACGAAACATGATCTACTGAGATGTTTATAATACTTCATTACTTATCATGTTTTATTCACAACACAAACGCTTCAGGTAGCATGATATTAGAATAGATTCTGGAAGTGTGTCTCATATGAAAGGGTAAGAACAATTCTTTATTTTGATATACTATGAACGCGGAGCGATGAAATTGCATTTCTCGCGCAGAGATGAAATTGTATTTCTCGCAACCCGAATCCATAAGTACATAGAATACACTTCAATTTGCAGGTCCGTTCTAAGAAACGACTCTGTTTTAGGTGTGAATGCGCAATTAGACGTGCCCATGGAGTTAGTGACGTACAGAGCTGTAATCAGGTTCCTAATTAAGAAAGGCTGTATAAAACATTTTGTTTTTTGAGAAAGCAATTGCAGCGTACGGAACAGATGCTCCCTTTCGTAGTTACTAATTACTAATACCGGACTGCCAATGAGGATCTCATTTTTATATATATATATAAGTTTAATAAGTGTAGAACAAAATAATTGTGCCACGTTGAAAATTATTTGAAAGATAATAAGCGTGTCACACTAAATAAGCATATCCTGGATGTATGTAGTTTTTGTTTTCTTTTGTCAATTTATTTAGCGGCATATCGAAACCGTTACGGGTTATTTAACTCTTTTAGTCTTGACTACCGCTATACCGGTGGTAGAAAAAAAATGACGTAATGCCCAGCCACCAATTGCGTCGTGTTTTGCTATTGGTTGTTTTATTTTGAAGAGCCATTCAAAAAAACCGTACTATTCTGGTGTCATCGAACATTATACCAACATGTCCGCACCTAATTATTGTGTTTTGTGCATGTGTTTTGCCTAAAAAAGAACGTTTTTATTATGAAGCGTGCAGAGTCTCAATCTGGATCGTCAGGGAAGCAATGAAGAAGTTATATTTTTTGTAGCTATTTTTTTAATATCTACCCTGAAACATTGCATACCAATTATTTGCGAATTTTGATTCAGGAGCTCAGACAGAAGGGTTAAAATTGTTCGGGAACGCAGACCTCAAAGTGTTAACTTGCTACTATTTTTATATCTATTTGAATTTTCTCGATCATTTCGAATTTTGTCTCAGAAACAGTATTTTGCATACCATTTGTTGGACTATTGTCCTCATCTTTGTCAAAACAATTATCACAACGTTTCGAATACGCCCGGCCTTCTTCAGGTGGTTGGAATTTCGAACTTAAAATTTCGATCACTGGGGTAGACTGTTTCTAGTTCCACGTGCCTCAGTTAAGTTATCTGCTAGTTTTCCCTCTGAAAGTTCTCACTGCCTTAACCAGGAATTGAACTCATCTTTCCAACCACCTATCTACAACGGCCGAAAATGACAAATTGGCGACAAAGATGAGGACAATAGTCCGACTAATAAATTTGTACATAATTTTCATCTCAGAAATATAGACAGACCCTTTGTCTCAGAAGTTCAGAAGGTTTAAATTGTTCAGGAACGCAGCGCTCAATGGGTTCTTTATTTATTTATTTTTTTAGATAATAATGATTTTAGTGATACAAGTTTTACTAATTGATATGTCCCGGAAAGGGATATATTTGAACGAAGTAGCTAAGTGGGTTTGGCTACTATAACCAAGTAGAATACAGTAGCAGTAATCGACTGGTACGCGTCGTAGTCGTAGGTAAGAAGTGTAGATCAATGGCGTAGTCCAATGGGCGTCGTTATAGACTTAGCTCTCAGACTAAGACTCTCCTACACGTCCGTCGGTATTTATGACGGACACCAGCCAATCATATTCCAGTGAGGGGGAACACAGGTGTACACATATTCCATTATATCACTAATTAACCCATAGCTGGGAGGAGAAGAGGTGTATTTGTGTATAACTGCATATTGAATATAATGAAGCCAACTGGAACTCGTCTGTCCGATATCCAATTCTGAGCCATTATCCATTTCACCACCGACACATCCAAGATTAAATTCCCAAGCGGTCACCCATGTAGGTACTGGACAGGAACGTCTTTGCTTAACTTCAGTGATCGTACGGGAACCGATGTTTTAACGAGATATGGCCGTAAGCCTCTTGATACATGTAGGTAGAGGATGTCAAGGAAATGATTTAGTCGTGCCGGCACCTGTAATTGGTACGTAAAAATAGGTCATTAAGTACAGTATTTATGATCCATTTTTGATTAGACGATTTTATCATCACAGGCATTTTGTCTTCTTCTTTATGTGTCCCTACAGGACATAGGCGGTCACGGCCTTCCACATCTTCCTGTCCCCTTTAAATCTTAATACAATTTATTTTTTACTTATTTCTTCCAATACATTGTTCTACTGTTCATCTACTCAAGCCTATCAAATATATTACGCGCTGTTTTCCTCTGGTCCTCTTTACCTCATTCTCTCCTGTGAGTATCAGATTTTCCAAGCCCTCCTTCCTCATTACCTGCTCCTGTAATTTTAACTGCTTCCTGATATTAAGTATTAAGTATTTTGGTTTCAATTTTCTCCAAAACCTCGTCGTTGCTGACAGGTTCGGTCCATGGTATCCTCAGCATCCTTCTGTATAACCACATTTCTGTTGCTTCAAGTCTCTTCATCTTTGATGAGATCGTCCATTATTCATTACCATATAGGTGGACAGATATCACGTTTTCTGTTTCTTAATACTCGGCTTAGCTTTTGAAAGGCATCTTTGGCCATCCTAATACGTCTTCGTTCTCAGTGTCGCACTTTCCGTCCTCCGTAAAAGGTTTGTATTTTCCTTTCTGCGCCTGCTATCAGCACCATGCCATCTGTATCCCTTATATCTGTCTATATTTCTGAGATGAGGCAGTATGCACCATATTTATTACAACGTTTCAGCCTTTCAGTATCTGTCTATATTTCTGAGATGAGGTATTATGTACACTATTTACATTATTCGGACTATTGTCCTCATCTTTGTCGCCATGTTTATTACAACGTTTCGGCCTTTCAGTATCTGTCTATATTTCTGAGATGAGGTATTATGTACACTATTTACATTATTCGGACTATTGTCCTCATCTTTGTCGCCATATTTATTACAACGTTTCCGCCTTTCAGTATCTGTCTATATTTCTGAGATGAGGTATTATGTACACTAGTTACATTATTAGAACTACTGTCCTCATCTTTGTCGCCATATTTATTCGGACTTCATATGCCCTCATTTTGAGATGAGCTATTTTTATTTACATTATTCGACTATTGTCCTCATCTTTGTCGCCATTTTTATTACAACGTTTCGGCCTTCTTCATGTGGTTGGAATGTCGAACTGAACCCTTTATTTCGCTCACTGGGTTAAACTGTTCTAGTTCCACGTGCCATGTTTAATGGATGTCAGTTGTCAGTTATCTCCTGTTAATTCCCCTCTCCACTGCCTTAACCGGATATTGAACTCACACTCTTGGGTCCTGTCACTAGATCTAACCAACGCCTTTATCCACTTGAGGACATCTGTGTATGAATTTCTGTGTATTTTAAACCTAATGTCTTCAGCAATCATTTTTTTAACCAGTTCTCATATTGCAATTTTGCTGTTATCATAATATGTTTTACCAGAGCTCATATTGCAATTTTTTGTTGTTATCGCTCTTCTCTGGCACTCCTTATTGCTAAAAATAATAGAGTTCAGTTCGACATTCCAACCAACTGAAGAAGGCCGGAGTGTACAACGGCCGAAACGTTGTAATAAATATGGCGACAAAGATGAAGACAATTGTCCGAATAATGTAAATAGTGTGTATACCTTATGTTGTTAAGATTGTGTCGGCCAAATTTTCGGTATTTTTTCAAAGCACCCAAACTGTTTATATTTAGTTTCTTTTTTCTTTCAAGTTTTGTTGGGTATTTTGTTCATTGGTTTGAATCGTTAGGGTGGTCAGTGATGGCAGTTCGCTGGTGGATGCCTTTCGTTTCGCGTGACTGTTTTGATTTGTTGTTGTTTTGAATGAGTGCGTATCAGTGTAGTCTTGAGATGAATGAATGTTTTATGCTATTATAGTCCCGCATTTCGGCCAGTGAACTGATATTTCTGCCACATATAGTGATTGTGGGGGTTTCATTACTAATATTTTTTTTTTAGTTTCTTGTAAATAGATTTTGATTTCATATTGTAAATACTCATTGGGGCTAGATTTTAGAATTGTTATTTTATTCCCCTCCCCCCACAGACAATGAATTGTAAATATGGGGACTAATTAGTATTTTCATAGAGACTAAGAGGTATTATAGTGAATGTAGTAAGAAAGGTACGTATGAATGTGTTGTTTTGGTGTAAGGAATATTGTTTGTACGATTGGGTCAGTGTTTGTGGCTAGCTAAGTTATAGTTAAGACAAAAGAAGACCGTCCTTTCTCCAATCTCTCCTTCGGCCTTGTGTCACATTTCTGTATTAAACAGAATAAATATCACTTTCCTTTATGAATTTATTCTTTCTACTAGATTGGCGGTAAGGTTACATCATCTTACAATCGAAATGTTTAAATGTAAGTAATTTCTTTTCTCGACTTGGCATCTCGGCTTCAGTCATTTTTTCCACCTCCCTAAGTTACAACGTTAGCACGTAAGTAAATGGAATGGAATCGACTGGAATTTGAATTCTTCAATCCAAGCTGCTATCCATTGCTCCACCGTGCCTCCATTCCTTGTACCAAACTAAACTAATGTTCGAATATTATAAGATGCTTGACACAGCAAGATTTGAAAGTTGGACCGTGTTGACTCCAGAGGAATCCTTTTTCTTGCGTGTGAGATTATTGGGCTCGTTCTGTTGGCCTCAAAGGGACAATTAGTTTGGATGCTTCTTTTAGTAAGAGCAAAGAGGCAAACATGTTTTTCAGTTATACAGTTCCGTCTCGAAGCAAATCATTAAATCTCATGACTTTCAAAATGGTTGTTTGGCAGGCAACGTTTTTCTGCGAATCTTTAATCTGGCGTCTTGTCTTTAAACTCGGCCGACGAAGGTGTTTTATTACCAAAGTAATGATATCTGCTTCGTCGAGAGGGAAATAGTAATGGTGTAGGCGGAAGTGGTTCTTGAGGAGTAGCCGAGAAACGGAAGTAGATGAAAGGTAAGGAAGAAGAAGCGACGGAAAAAGAAGTTTTAGAGACAAATAATCAGAAAGATTCTTTAAAAATGAAAGAAAGAGCGAAAGTGGAAAGGTTAAAAGGAAAGAAGGAATTACACACACACACACACACACACACACATATATATATATATATATATATATATATATATATATATATAATTATATCTCACATATAGCGGTGAGAGATAATGTATATATATATATATATATATATATATATATATACATACACACACACATATATATATATGTTTGTATATATTGTGTATATTTAGGCAGCAATTTTTCATTGGTGCATGTTTCATTAAATAATATAGACAAGTTTTGTCTATTTATTTGAAGTAAGTTCCTTTCATATCGTCTGATAAGCTTAATAACATTATCATTGAAAGACGAAAGGAAATCATATTGATACATGTTTAAATCCGATCTAAGCTTTCGGTTTACATAAGCCATTATCAAAGATGACAATTACTTTTAAATATATCAACCAATACACGGACGAAACAATAATAATAGTCTGTTTTTGTTGCATGAAAAATTTCAAAGCAACGACAAATTCGTGTATACGAAACGCGGAAGGAAAATCGCATCGCAGCTCGTGACGTCACACATTATTATTGCATCTATAGGATTATCTATATATATATATATATATATATATATATATATATATATATTAATTCGGACAATTTTCTGTTCATACGTTACTTCAATAGATACAATTTATTTAAGTAAATGCTCTGTTTTTCTTTTTTTTTTTTAAATAAACAGTATTAATTACATTTACCGGCCTGAATCTTCCAGAAGTTTCATGGGAAATAAGCGTTCTCCAACAGGAATCGAACCTCTGTCCTTTACGGAACCGTCAATTGATCTGACGTGCTATACTAATCAGCTATAGAGGAGAGTCTGGTTAGCAAAGTCCAAATTACTGTTTATAAACAACAAATCTCTTAACGATTACTGTTTATAAACAACAAATCTCTTAACGAGCTTAACCGAAAGAACATATCTGTTCGCGAAGCGTACCTTAGCGTAAACATTGACAACATATATTTTATTCAAAAACAGAGCATATAATTAAATAAATTGTATTTATTAAAATAACGTATATGCAGAATACACACACACACACACACACACACACACACACACACACACACACACACACACACACACACACACACACACACATATATATATATCTATATATATATATATATATATATATATGTATATATATATATATATGTATATGATTGGTGTATACGGAATAGATTCCAATAACACAAAAATAGTATTCTTAAAAGAGTGCTCAATACAGAGTCGAGCAATTATAATTTTTTCAAAATTATAGCATAAACATGTTATATAATCACTACAAAATTGCTTATGTTATAATTTACGAATAAATTATATATATATATATGTGTTATAATTTTCGAATATATTATATATATATATGTTATAATTTTCGATTAAATTATATATATATATATGTTATAATTTCGAATAAATTATGTATATATATATGTATATGTTATAATTTTTCGAATAAATTTATATATATATATATATATATATATATATATATATATATATATATATGTCGACAGATATATTCAATTTATTAATTCTAAATTAGTTCAATTCTAAAGGGAAAAGTAATGAATGTTGATGATTAGAAAAGAGACAATTTAGCAAACAACGGAATATAAAAGAAGGGAGGATTTGAGGAAGGATGGGAGAGATGACAGGTTGCAATATAAGAGGAGGAAGGCAGGAAAGTTGAGAGGGAGGAAGGTAGGAAGAAAAAGAAAGAAGGGGAGAAGGAAGATTGGAAGGAAGGGATGACGGATAGAATGAAAGAAGGGAGGGAGGAAGGGAGTAAGGGTAGGAGGGAGAAAGGAAGGAAAGCTGAAAGGAAGGATAGGTGGAAGGAGGGAAGGAAGAAAAGTAGGAAGGAAGGAAGTGTGAAAGGAAGGGAGAAAGGAAGGAAAGAAAGGAGGTAGAAAGGAAGAGATAGAATGAAAGAAGGGAGGGAGGAAGGAAAGTAATGTTAGGCGGGATAAAGGAAGGAAGGCAGGAAAGCTAAAAGGACAGATAGGTGGAAGGAGGGAAGGAAGACAAGGAGGAAGGCAGGAAGAGAGTGTGAAAGGAAGGGAGAAAGGAAGGAAGGAAAGGAGGTAGAAAGGAAGGGATGACGGATAGAAGGAAAGAAGGGAAGGAGGAAGGGTGTAATGGTAGGAGGGAGAAAGGAAGGAAGAAAAGAAAAGCTAAAAGGAAGGATAGGTGGAAGGAAGGAAGGAAGACAAGGAGGAAGGAATGAAGAAAGTGTGAAAGGAAGGGAGAAAGGAAGGAAGGAAGGAAGGAAGGAAGGGAGAAAGGAAGGAATATATGAAAAAAAAAAAACAAAAGAAAGAACATGGAATTATAACAATGTTAAAAACATGAAAATATAAAGAAAACCGAATCCGCAAAAACAAAATCCAAAAAGGAAAAGAAGAGGAAAAGGCCGGGGAAGAAATGGAGGAGTATCTATCTTTCTTTCTTTCTTTCTTTCTTTCTTTCTTTCTTTCTTTATCTATCTATCTATCTATCTATCTATCTATCTATCTATCTATCTATCTATCTCTTTCTATCTATCTATCTATCTATCTATCTATCTATCTATCTATCTATCTATCTATCTATCTATTCCGGAAAATCCTTGTTGACAACACAACTATACTTAAACATGAAACGAATAAACAAAAGTTTAAAATTCTTGAAGCTGTACACATAAAACAGTTGAAACCTGACCTGAACAAAATAAACTATGAAATCTCTACAAATATTCTTAAATGCTTATAATTTATAACATTTATACCAACGGCTTCCCATACTTAATACTTCGTTTTTCACTCTCGCGTGGCCATGCGTGACGTCACGAGCTGCGATGCGATTTTCGCTTCCGCGTTTTGTATACACGACGAGTTTGTTGTTACTTGGAAATTTTTCATGCAGCAAGGGCGGACTACCATTATTGTTTCGTCCGTGTGTTGTTTGATTTATTGAAATCTTAATCTTTGATAATGGCTTATGTAAGCCGAAAGCTTAGATTGGATTTAAACATGTATCAATATGGTGTTTTCCTTTCATCTTTCAACGATAATGTGATTAAGCTTATCAGACAATATGAAGGAACTTACTTAAAAAAATAGACAAAACTTGTCTGTATAATATAATGAAACATGCATTAATGAAAAATTGCTGCCTAAATATACAATCAATCTATCTATCTATCTATCTATCTATCTATCTATCTATCTATCTATCTATCACAGTCTGTTCATATCTATCTATCTATCTATTTATCTCCAATAAACTTGAAATGAAAAGATGAAACAAAAATGAATATCTAAAAGGAGAGTAAAAAAAGAAAAGAAAGAAAAAAAAAAGAAAGAAAAAGATTTTAAAACTCCTGGCAGAAGGAAATACGTATAATAAAACGACGTAGTGAGCAATTTCAAGTCGGAAGTTAATGGATATTTTTCTGCGCTGGAACGGGTGCGGGGTGGTAGGGTGCATCTTGTACAGATGGGGGCGTGAACTAAATGAAGTAGTCAGTCAGTAGAATAGGTTAATAGATCAGAAGATACATTCGAGAAACAGTGCTTGTCTCCCTCGTTTTTGCATTCTTAGCTCCGACAAGCGTCTTCTCTTTTGCTTGGGCCCCGACAGCAGTGGACAGAAATAATTAGGCAGTAATACATTTCTTCATCAAGTTGCTCTGAGTCGCTTTAGGCAGGCTTCAGAGAGTGCGTTTTTCGATTAGATGAAAGATTTCCGATTCAATTGAAAGACAATAGGAAAAGAGAACCGCTTGCTGTAGACAAGAAGGGAGAATTCTTTAAAGAAGAAGAAAAAGATGAAGGAAGAAGAGGAGGTGAGGAAAAGGAGTAGGGGAAAACTTTTCAATAGATAACAGCAAAGAGGTGCTATTATAATTGGCAAAGAACAACATGTTTAATTTTCCCTTCCTGTAATCGATTTACAATGTTTTAGTTATATTTTATGATACTGTATTGAATTGGCGCATCGGAGCTTCTATACAAAGAATGAAGCCGAGTAAAACATTTTCATCTATCTATCTATCTATCTATCTATCTATCTATCTATCTATCTATCTATCTATTTCAGTATATATTGATTTGGTTTGGTTTGGTTTGTATTGCGGCATATGAACCTCAATGGATTATTTAATGTCAATAAGATTTTTATTGCTGGTAATATCTATCTATCTATCTATCTATCTATCTATCTATCTATCTATCTATCTATCTATCACAGTCTTTTCATATCTATCTATCTATCTATCTCTCTATCTATCACAGTCTTTTCATATCTATCTATCTATCTATCTATCTATCTATCTATCTTGGTCTGTTCAAATCTATCTATCTATCTATCTATCTATCTATCTCAGTATATATTGATTTGGTTTGATTTGTATTACGGCATATCAACCTCAATGGATTACTTAATGCCAACAAGATTTGTATTGCTGGTAATATCTATCTATCTATCTATCTATCTATGTCTGTTTATATCTATCACCCTATCTTCGTATGCAACCATTCTTTCTTACGTAAGGTCGATAAATGAACAGTGGAAGTCTTTTGAAATAAAATGATTTCTTAATTGAAATTGAAGCTCAGCATATTTTTTTTTGAAAATCCTATTCTTTACATTTCTGAACGCGACGAATTGTCTTTCTTTGCGCAGCCAGAAGTTTTGGAATCCAATTGGTTCCCAGTAAGCCTCTTTCCTCTTCCCTGAAATTTCGTGCCAGCATCTCCACCCACTTCTCAAGGTCAACTTCTTTCGAAGCCACACAGCACAAGCAAAAGGGCATGTCGGCTTTTTACAAAATAACAGCTTTATTTTTTTAATAAAATATATTGTTTAATCGGGTCTCATTTTTCTTTGTCTTGCTTAGTTCTCCTACTTGAACAGTTAACAACCGACATTGTCAGAAAAAGATAAATGCGTTGAGGCAGAATCTCATTTACTTGTATATTTCTATTACCCTGGGCTTAGATTTATGTAAAAAGAAAGAAAATAATAATACTGTCCATCAAGAGAACCAGTCAGTTCATAAACATTCTCTAAAACGCGTACACATCTTTAATGGCGTCTTAAAAATATACCGACGTCAGTGCGCATGCGCCGACTTTCTCGGTGTATTTGTGTGTGTAAATCAATATTTCATTTGGTTGAAAGAAAGTAGCCATATTTCAGAAAGCTTAAAAATTAAGTTAAATCGAACTGCAAAATAATAAACTCTATTATATCTATCTGATAAAATCTATTAAATTTCAATTTCTATAAAATTGCCCCTCTAAATGTTCCGATTATTATTATTGAGTGATTAATTGTTTGCGAGTGGAGCACACAGACAAAATATTGCCAGAGTGGGTCAAATTTACGAAGCCCTATCTATTCATCACAAGGATGTGCGGTGAAGTAATGAATAGCGGCTGGATAATGAACCGAGTTCGAATTCCAGTCGAATCCATTACATTCACTTACGCGCTAATACCCTTGGGAAAGGTATGAATCCTCTTCTTCTCCAGGACAGAGTGGGTTCTATAGCTTTGGATGGCAACTGGTCTAGGAGAAGGACAACTCTGAATTCAAAACCTTCGGAGGGTCGTTTGAGGACCTTGTAGCAAGTAGTGCACCAGGTCTCTGTATTCAGCCTTCCAAAAGAAATGCTAGAGGCATCCGAACGTCTAGCCACACTGATGAGCTATGATACAGCGAAACAGTCTGTCTGTGGATGACAATATATATATATATATAATATATATATATATATATATATATATATATATATAATATATTTAGCGGCTCGGATTGAGGAATCAGAGAGCCGAGTTCGAATTCCAGTCGAATCCATTACATTCACTTATGTGCTAATACCATTGGGAAAGGTATGAATCCTCTTCTTCTCTCCCCAACTATGGGTAAATAGCAGGAGAGACTGGGTTCTATAGCCTTGGATGATAACTGGTCAAGAAGAAGGACAACTCTGAATTGAAAACCAGAGGAGGATCGTTTGGGGACGTTGTGGCACGTTGTGCACCAGATCTCTGTATTCGGCTCTTCAAAAAGTGTCGTTGGTTCTGCACAAAGCCTTCACCACTATAATCAAATCCTATCTAAAGGTGTCTGTCTGAGAACTCGACGTTATCTGACTTTCATACATCGATAAAACGATTGGAGAGTCCACTATACTCATAATGACAACTTGTTTGATAATGTTATATCAGAGGTGATTTCCATGCTTGTTTGGGTACCTCATCCTTCAAACTATGGTGTTACCCCCACTATCGGCTATCATGTTACCCCATTACACTTGCTCACGAACAGAGGCGCCTAGTGCAAGATAAGTGACAATCAAATCTGTGGTACTGAACGGGATATTTACCGAAACTCAGTTTAATTCATCAAGAAAATACATTACAACATTCAATAACTAAGATCAAATTCAATGAGAAGATATTATTGGTGTATAGTCATTTATTATTAATATTATTATTATTATTACAATTTTAAATTTCTTTTGGGCCTGCATTATAATCACGTGCTGGATCATAACCAATAAACCAAAACAAGTGATGGATATGATTTTTGTTGTTTTCACTAAATTAAATAAAAGATAGCCATTAAAAAATATTAAATGGCGAAAGCTCTTCCAAGATATGATCCGTGTTTGCTAGAATTATTTTTTTAATTTCATGAGAGATGGTGCAGCAGGGATTTTGTTGATTTCTTCTTGAGTTCCTTTTCTTATCAGACCCAAAGCTCCAACCACAACAGGAACAGTTTTAGATTTTAAATGCCACTGTGACGTCGTCCCCCGGTCGCAGCGCCGACTGTGACGTTCTATCCTGATCTACCACGGAACCAGTTGTGACGTCCCCAAACAGCACCAATTGTGACGTCCTCGCCGCGGCACCAGCTGTTCGCTCCTCGCAGCTCCGTTCGGGTGTCGCTGCTCCAAACGTGATGTCCGCCTGTCGCGTCAGTCGTGTTGTCTCGTCCTGTGACGACCAACTGGCTTGGTATCGGTCGCGGCACCCAAATGTGACGTTCTAACCTCTTGGTGATTCGGGTGGGAATCTGGTTAGATTTGATATCAGCCTCGTCGTTCCCAACTCGCTTCCAACGCCTGGTTACCAAGATAACTGCATTGATCCCCAGTCCGCCTACCCACGTTGTGAATTGATCTTAGGCAGACGAGATCAAACAGTGGTTGGGGCCGTAATGCAAACTGAGTTCAACGGGGGTGATACCACACAATTATGCATAAAAGAAATCAAAATGAAAACTCAAAAAGTTCAAAGTATCAAAGAAAAAGGTAACAGACTTTATGTCTA